AAAAGGGAGGAAAAAATCAAAACTAACATGGATTACGAAATTGTCTGCCTAGGTAATCCTCTCAGGGGACGAAACGGAAATTAGGATCGCTAGCAGGCTGACCAACCGGTGATGCAACACCGGCAAAGCAGCTGTGGGCTTCCATAGCTGATTCGCTAGATATACATACAAAGGTGCAGATCATGGACTAATGGATAATTCAGGCACTCCAAGCATATCCCGTTTTTTTTCGTACAAAAAAAATTGGCTCAGTTCCAAAGCTTTTTAACTTACCGATGAGTACATAACAAAATGAAGTGGGTCGACTGCCCTCTCGCCAATCCTCGCTGGGAAACCTTTCGAAGCTCTTGACAAGAAGCCTGTCAAGTTTTTCACCTTCAGGAAACGATTTTCCGGCCATCCAGCTTTCCAGCGCCCAGCTATATTCTGCAACACACAAACATACATATTTTCACATTTAACGAAATTTTAAAAGAAACTGAATTTATTTTCATAAAAAAAACAAATTCAAGTTCTTACTCAATTTCGGCGTACTTGAGGTCATATTTGCAAGAAAACGGGCTAATTTTAGCTGGTAGGCTGGTCGAGTTGAGTCAATCAGTGGACCCGTGTATTCACCTCTAAAACGATACTTATTTTTATTAAATAAAATGAAAATTAACATCTGGTGATTTTTTTAAAAAGTTAAACTTAAATGAATGATTGACATATGTGGAAAAATCTCCCACAATTTCAAAAAAAAAAAAGTATCCGATGTTTTTGTTAATTTCAGAAAAAAATCATAACTAACTAATAACCATGGATGGCTTCTGCTGCTGCACTACACTTGACAATCTCTTTACGCTGCGAGGGAAATGACAAGAATATCGGAGAGTCCTAAGAGCTGAAGAAAATTCAAAACCAAACGAAGGTTCAATTGCGGTAAAGGTAAGAAATGTATATGACTTAATGGACCGAAACATTTCTTACCTATTTAAATAATTCTTTAGAACCCTTTCATCGTTTTTTGGTCACATTTTCTCTCTAACCCTAAAGTAAACGAAATATATGGGCATGAAAAAAGAAATGTTCCAAAATTACCTTCTAGCTAATTGTTGCTTCAATTCTTCATCGGACATCTGTCGCACGTTCCGTAGAATCTTAGCAGGAATTCTTAAACTGCTAGCTGAAACAGCAATTATGGAGTTGTGGACCGGCAAGGTAGAAGTTTAGAGAAACGCATGAGACATTCAAGAATACCAATACCTCAGGCGCCCCCAGTCGAAAAATAGGAATTTCTCGAAGCATAACAGCGGGCGTGAGCTGTCCATTGTCCCCCTTTTCCCCGCCTACTACCTTAAGAGCATTTGTGGATTAATCTAGCCTAACGGATTTGCGCAGGGCGGTGAGCGACCGCCCTGCTTTTGCTGTTGTTTGGAATTTTTAAAGTTTTTATTGCTTTGCTGAAATCGTTTCTCAAGTCGTTTTTGTGCCGTGAAACTAACGTGTAAATTGTTTGGGTGCATTCAATAAATGGTTTAACAACCCAAATTTGAGGTTATTGAAATTGGCGGCATTGATTCGATTGGAACGGGTCGATATTTGACGGACCTATTGTGATCTCTTACCGCTGTATTGGTAGTGGTCAATTTTGAGCTGTCAATAAGTCCAAAGTTGCGCTTCGATTGTGGAAAGGAACCGGCAGAAGAGGAACGAAGACGAAAGTCTACGCTCCAGGAATCCAAAAGGAAAATTTGGTTTCTATTCGTTTATTTTGTTCGGGGGCTAGCTATCCCGAAGTAATTTGAAGTCCCGACTGAACACCCCTCCCCCCGCCTCCGAGAATCAGTGTGGGTATCCAACGCTAGTGAAATTATTGAGGTGCTATCCCCTTCTCCTTTCCCCTCTCCCCTTGCCGAACATAGATACGCCTCGGAACCTAGTATAGAAAAATTTCAATAGCTGTACTGTTTTTATGAACTGATTTTTTTTCAAAAAAAAAAAAATTTAAGCGCTTTCCCCTACCACTTTAATAGGTGGAAGCATACTGCAGCATGTTCTTTTCCTATGAATTTTTGCAAGTAAGTACTGGGAAAAAAAAAAGAAAAAAGAAGAAACCTACTTTTACGCGAACTCGATTCTTCGGTCATCCAGGCTTTAATCCACGACGACGTATCGTCAATTTTCAGAGATGCGGCCTCTCGAGAAAGTGCATCGAAAAAGCTGTCATTGGATGTTTCATGCCTCTCGTTCTTCATGCTGCTTTCTGGAGCTGTTGTAAATAGGGCACTGCGATCGCTGTCCGACTTCGGAGACACTTCCGGGCTTGGAGCAAGTCTAGACGAGGCTGGTGACGACGGCTGCGATGAGGAAACCACTGCTGCTTCTGAAGGTACCACTGCTGCTGCTTCTGAAGGTACCACTGCTGCTTCTGTAGTCCCTGGAAAAATGTAAAAGATATGCAGCCGCATGAATACCTACTTTTTAAAGCATTTCTGCAATATTTCTTCTTCGTTTTGATAAGGATGAAAGTGGTTTTAAATGAAACTTCTAAAGAAAATCGCCAAAAGGGGTAGCGCGTTAGCAAAAAAGCTAAAATAAATAACGGTGCACACTATGGTAGCCAATGCGCCCATGTGTTTTGCGCAGTTCTGTCCAGTAGATGTCTGCTGTTAAGAATTTTCACTGTTTTACACTTTGGCGTATGCAAAAATGGTCGCCCTGTTGTCTGGTTCCTAAGTTGCAAAATCCCTCACTAATAATTTCATAAAGCAGCGCGTAAAACATAAACATACGCTAAAGATAAATTTGAAACCTTTGGATCGCAAACAGACAGGGAATATCCTTCCAAATTCCAGCTCCCTAGTTTTCTGGCTTCTGAATTAGTAATTTTTGAGCCAAAACTTTCCAGTGGTGCGCAAGATCTCCAGACAATTCGGAGTCAAATTTAAGTTTTTAAGATTCCTGCATAAACAGGAAACACCCCTCTGATATCTTAGCCCCTAGCTTTTGTGGTTCCCGAAATAAATTTCCTCCCGAATCTTCCACGAAGTCGTACGTGAGATTCAGGTGTATGTAAAGACGAATTCGAATTTGCAGGGTCCTTTGCGAGAGTGGTACATGGCCTTAAAATTTCAGCCTCCTAGCATTCGTGGTTCCCCAGCTGAAGTGTGAAATAAAATGCACTCGAACACACACACACACACACACACACAC